TTCCAACTGAAATTACTTGTTATTGTTACTCCGCAATACTTAAATTCATCAACTTTAGACAATGGTTCACTCTGTAGATTTCTTATTATTTTAACTATAGGACTGAAGACCCATTTCGGGGCTTGCAAAAGCCAGGTAAACAAAGTATTGGGTCATGAACATCATCAACATATTTTGCTCTACATCCTATCTTAAGAAATATGTGCAGCATTGGGATGTAGTGGTGCAGTATGTGGCTTCAAGAATGGTCCTTGTACAAGCATTGATGCAAATGAGGTACGCTTTAAACTGCCACATACAGTGCTCATCATACTTATACAGTAAAGGTATGACGTCACTGGTACAGCCTCATCCCAAGCGCTACAGCTACGCAGCTAGGGCACCACCGTATATAAGGGCATGCAATGAAGGAAGTGAAAGTCATTGTTCACCTCGGCACCCGAGCACGATCTACATGGTGTCAGAAGTAATTCGAACCGCTCGTCCAGGTGCCGTAACGCGATAAAACAGCAGCCATACAATGGCTACGGCACAGAAGTTGTACGCGCTGTCATTTACTACGCTGCTGTAGCAAGGCACCTGGACACATCCGGAGACGTGTGGCGGAACTGGAAGACGTGAAAATGTGAGTTACGACTGTTTTCTGCGGCAACGTTCCTTAACTGCCAACCAAAAGAAGATGCAAGAAAAGCCTTCAGCACGTTCACATTTGCGAGTGAAGAGGAGAAGCATGACGTAGAATTCTATCATCAAGAGGTTGGATAGCTTCTATAGGCGCGCCGCGAACTTGACCTGCAACGATCGAGTTCGTATTTGGTACAAGAGACCAGAAAGAAGGGGAGCCCTTTAATGAATGGTTGATGAACATTTGTGTCCTAGCAAACAACAGCGAGTTTGCGTTGCTAAAAGAACGCCTACTTTCAAGTAGAATAATTCTCGGCATTCGAGACAAGAAACTTCAGCAGTGCTAGAGAAGCAGAACCCGGCGTACACAAGGCAGTGGAAACGTGCAGAGCCTGGGATCAAGGAGAGGAAAGGTATAAGCAAACACGAAGCGAAGGAAACACACGAGATGGAGGTCGACGTGGTTCATGGAAGCGAGGGTCCATGCTAAAAGTGTGCTTTCGCTGCGCACAGGAGTAGCGTTTGCGCAGCGTCCGAAAAAAAAAAAGTAATAAATGCAGAAAACATATACACTTTGCTAAAGTCTGCAAATGATCAGGCACAAAGCCAGGATGCAGAAGCCTTCCACAAAAAGAAGTGCACGGAGTTATGGCTAGCGATGACGAGACATTTTATCTAGAAGCGTTGACTGTTGGTACAGTGTCTCGTGAAGATCTTGGAACAGCTTCAATGAAGCATGAAGGCGTGCCTGGCTGCTGTAAAATAGACACCGGAACAAACTGCTCCATTATCTCAAAGACGACACTATGCCAACTCACGACAAAGTCAACCAAAACGTGTAGTGTCATCCTAAACCCGTTCTTCAGCCACACAGAGAGTGCATAAGAAAAAGCCTGCCTCGACCTGCAGTACGAAGGCAAGAAGTGTCACGTTGGATTCTTTCTGGTGCGCCAAGAAGTCCCAGTTATCCTTGGAGGCAGCGTAACAGAACACCCAGGACTCATTATCCGCGTTGCAAGTGTGAGCGGCATGGAACTCTACGAGGCGGCTCGTCTTTTTGGAGCCGTTTTCCAGGGACCCGGCCAGCTGAAGGATGTAGTTGACGACATGAAACTACAACCAGGAGCCAAGGGCGCCGTGAAAGATGCAAGACGAGTGCCTGTGGCCCTCCAGAACAAAGTCAAGACGTCGAGCTGAACCGCGTGGAAGCTGAGCATGTCAACATAAAGGCAACAGAACCGACCGAATGGTCCAGTCACAAGGTTGTTGACGTAAAAAACGACAAGGTTAGAATTTGATCGGACCCATCTGACCTTAATAGATCACCACTACGTGAAAATTACCCTATGCCAACATCAGAGGATATTTCTCCACGTCTGCACGGTGCCCAAGTTTTTTTCAAACTTAGAGGTGCTATCCGGCTTCTGGCAAATGAAATTGACAGAAGCAAGTTCCTGCATCAGTACCATGAGTATACTCCCTGTGACAGACACAGGTTTCTGCGCATGCCGTTCGGGATTTGAACTGTACTAGAAGTTTTTTAACGCGCAATGCACGGTGTTCTAGAAGGACTGAAGAATGTGGCAGTCGTTATGGATGATACCCCAGTTTGAGGGACTACGTACGAAGCAAGAACGCGACGAGATCGAAGAGTCTGCTGCAATGCCGCTCGCAGCACGGTCTGAAGTTTAATAAAAAAAAATTGTCGTTTTTTGCAGGACCATGTGCGATACCTAGGTCACAATTTGATGACTCGGGGGTTGAGCCTAGATCCCGGACGGATCGAGGACATAATCGCTGTACGCGAACCCAGAAAACGTAAAGGACTAAGTTTTTCTCGGCATGACTAACTTTTTGGCCAGGTTTATACCAAACATGCCAGCGCTCTCGGCACCCCGGCGCGAGCTACTAAAAAGGAATTATGCTTGGGTGTGGACTGAATGCCAGCATTGCACAGTTTTAAAGCCTTGAAGAAATGTCTAATCAAGGCACCAGTGCTCGCGTATTCCGAACAAGGCAAGCCAATCACGTTATCAGTAGATGCCTGCCAAACTGACATCGGAGCAGTAATTATTCAGAATGGACACCCCATCTGCTACTCATCCCGCTTCCTGACCGCAACACAACAGAAATATGTCCAGATAGAAAAAGAGCCGCTGTCCCTATTGCTAACGGATGCAGCAAGTTTCAAGATTATATATTGGGGCACTCAGCTGTGATCATTGAATCCGATCATAAGCCAGTGGAAGCAATGTTTAGGAAGCCCCTCTGTGAGTGAGTGACCACTGCGCCTACAAGAAATGAGGCTTAAGTTGTGCTGCATAGATACCTTATCACAGTGAAGTAGAAGCCAGGGAAAGAACTTATCTTCGCTGACGCGCCTTCAAGGTTTTCAACCAAGATCACGCTGAAAGATGAGACCAAACAATTTCAAGTTAACGTCGTTTACACCCTACCGATTTCAGATGCACGACTGGGGGACATTCTGCAGGCGACGGAAAACGACACGGCGCTCAAGCAGCTTTGGGAGTACGCATCGACTTCTTTGCCGGCTGAGAAACGCGAAGTCCCAGACGAAGTTGGGCCGTATTGGAGCTACGGAGAAGGGATGCACTTAGAAGACGGCCTTGTCTTCAAGAGGAACAAAGTGGTGATCCCAGCGGTGAAGAAAGCGGAAGTTTTGAAAATTTTGCATGCAGCACATGCAGGTGAAGCAAAAATGAAGACGCGCGCCAGAGAAGTGATGTATTCGCCGACCATGTCAAGCGATGTCGAGGTTCTTGCTAATTCATGTCCGTCTGGAAGCATAAGCCCAGAAACGCAAGGCTACCTTTACTAAGTCGAGCTGCAAAACCTCCAGTGGCAGGTGGTGGGCGTAGACCTGTTCTACAACGGCGGCCGTGCGTTTTTAATTATTTTTATCTATAGTTATTGGAGATTTTTACTCCTTTTTCTTCGAAATGAACGAACTTCGACGGTCCACGGCATTTTTGCATGGATTGCTAATAAAACTGTGCAGCGACAACGGACCCACATTCAGTAGCCCAGGTTCCCAGGACTTCGTGAATAAATCCCGAATCACTTAAGTGACGTCAAGCCCTTACCACACCCGGTCCAATGAAATGGCAGAGCGCCTTACGAGAAACACAGAAACGGCTGACGAAGTTGGGCTACAACACGCCTGAATTGTGCAGCGCCCTCCTGAAGTGGCGCAACAGCCCAAGGGATCATCTGCTGAAGTCTCCAGTGCAAAGACTAATGGATCGCCAGACACGGACGTTACTTCCGGTTCCCCATCGCTGCCTGGAGCCAACCATCGCAGGGCGCAGCGAGGTGCGAAGCGGACTACAGGTGATCTGCAAGAAGCATCAAACGTACTACACCAAACCAAGGGCCCTTCCAGAAATGCACGAGGTTCAGCAGGTGTCTACAGTCGACACTATCGCACACACGCGTTCTCCAGCAGTCGTCGTAAACCGAGCCGGGCCTTGTCGCTCTTATGTGATTGAGACTGACGACGGGCGCTAGCTAACGCGAACGAGAGAGCAACTGCGCGCATCGCCATCTGAGCAAGAGCCAGTAATCCGATCCCTGGATCGCCCGGAAAAAAAAAAGTCCCCCCCCCCCTTTCCCGGGGACATTGAAAACTTTCCGCCTATGTGCACCTTGCATGGAGTTACAAATCTCGCCTCTACAGTTTACTTTAGGTCAAACTTTCACCTCAAGGCTGCCTTCGTACGAGTGCACTCGTCCACGTCTACGTGGTGAGAGCGTTGCATTTCTATTTTTTTATTGATTTGTCAATTTTTAACCGATTAGCCGGTTAGAAAAGTTAATCGAGATTAAAGCATTAATCGATGAATCGGTGGGTTAATCGATCAAGAGCCCAACCCTAGATGCATTATTCAAATATAGATAAACATTAGGTCTACTATATTCACTATGATCCTGGTTCTCTTCTGTAAATTTATTATGTGAATCCACGTGCGACTCAATGCAATAAGGAAGGATGACTGAAAAAGAACAGCTAAAATACAGGGTCTCCGGCGTCTCGATACTGAAGTACTTTCGTATTTTCGGATAAAGCTAAAGTAGAAAAAGAAAGATCAACGAGACCCCTCATTGTAGTTATCAGTTAAATATATTTGGTTTTTCACCCAGGTTCGGATTAGTTCGACTTTGTTACTCCTCATTATTGCCGGCACGTAAACTGCATACTCTTATCGGGAAGTATTCACAGATGACATATTAGGTTTTGACAAAATTTAATGAGAGACTGCTAGTCAACTATTTCCTAGGATATTGATGCTTTTTTTTTCTCGGATCCTCTTGCTATAATGTCACATCGTCGGAGCGCATGATGACATGTGCTTTTTTCAGACATCTTTTTCGGGCGATTCGAGAGATTCTTCGGACTCCATTTCACATTGGCCCACGCATTTTCCATTTTGGCATTTCTGAGCAGGAAAAAAAAAAAAAAGAATACATCAGAGTGAGTGCGCCTACATCTAGGAATAGCGAGAAGTCAAAACGAGCTTCGCCGTCAATGAGAGGCGATGTTCCCGCGGAAACTAGTACTTTGGTGGAACGTTTTGTAGACAGTACCAAAACCTGGCGAGTTTTTAGTAAAAATTGGCGGCTATAAAAACTTGACTAGAGTCATGTTTTTCAAACAAGCCCTTGAGACTCGTTCGCGGCATTGACCGAAATTAGTAAATTGGTAAGTAACCGCACCCCCGATGTCCCATCTGGTAATGCAGACGCATCGCGCGACAGTATGATGTGTCATTACAAATTTCTCCTCGATTGATTGGTCGGTACTCTTATCGGCTAATGCTGCAATCTCATTGGCTGCGTAGCGAAAATAACAACTCGCACGCCCATTGTTGTTGTTTTTTTTTTTTTGTGGTTTTTTTTAGGTGTCAGTGACAGGAAGGCAGTGCATATATATTTTGACAGTTCAACCAGGCCGATGAAAAGAAACTTATCATCTGCTGATTGCACGAAAGCTGCCGCAATCTGGACGACCCACTGGAATTAGAATTAGGATTAAAGAAATCACACATTACAAATCGGCCAGAATCACAGCTAGCCATTTACTCACCGGTCCCCAAAGATTTCTTACCCCTCCGCCCCTCCCCCCTTTTACTCCCTTTGACGTTCCAATGGCGTTGCTTACGCACACATCGTATCGCGCCTCGAAAATCCGCACCAAGCGTAAGTTATCCAGGCGTAAAAAAAGAAAAAAGAAAAGAAACGTATAAATAAGTTAATAAACGTAGTGCAGTAAAATTTCTTGTGTTTTAACAAAGGTGATTTTAGGTGATGGATTAATTACACTCACGTTTCGTGAAAGCAAGTTTCAGGAAAAACAGCCATGAACATAAAATGAGTTATTTTATGCATAGGGACAAAAGCGAAAGCAAATTTTGTCTGGTGGATGCCGCTTGCCGCAGATGCAAGGTGCCAAACACGCTACGATTTCCTGTATCTGCTTTCGGGCGGTCGCATCAGGCAGGCTTTCTAATGTTTGTTCCACCTGGTTCCACCTGTGAGTAGCAGCGTCGAACAGACGTTTTTTTTTTCTTTTTTTGTCCACGCCGGAATAACACGACTTTGTTGGCTTTGATTTGTTTCTAGAACCTTACGCTCACAAAATTTTACTATAGTAAATGCACGATCTCAAGACATGTTTGTGAAAACTTATATAGTCCGTTCATTTTTTTTTATTATTTTTTTCACCATGTTGTCTTACGCTTGATAGGGCTCAGAAACACTATTAAAGGTATAACCCCGATGGGCTCTTAAAAATGAACACTCACATTTTCCTAATGCCTCTCCGATTGGGACTTTTAGCGTCCTATGTTGGCCTCGCCATGGAATATCCCCGAAAGTACCAACCAAAAGCGCGAGACACATGGACGGCAGAATCATCCGATCCGACAGTCCGAAAGCCGCTCCGAATTGCCGCACGCAACAGTTTGAAACACACGCCTCCGACCTTGCATGCGACACGACGATCCGTTCGGCTCCGCCCTGGAGATCCAAGCACTCCAGCGGAGGTCCGCGTTCATAGATCTCTGGTCCCACCATGATTGACGGTTTAGCTCGCACGTGCGAAGTTAGGAGCTCTTTCTCGCTAGCGCGTGCATTCCTTTGCCTGAGCCATCTTTTTCGAATGAATCAGCGGGATCCACTCGTCCGGCTTCTCGTCGCCCGTCCCGTTTTCTTGTTCGTCCCACCATACCCAGTACGTCATGATGACGTTCGCGCTAGCTGCGCTGTCATCGGCTGGACGCTTCCGACAGTCCGTCTGCCGTGCGAAACAATCTGGCACGGTGAATGCACGCCGGATCGCCGATCCGACGTCTGAAGCGACCGAATTTTTCGGATCAGGCAGACGTTCTGCCGGATCGGACGTCGGATCGGATGAATTTTTCGCGCATGTGTCTCGCGCTTAATGCTACGAGTCGCCGCGACCCCGCCGGTTGGTTGTAGAAACACCGGCAAAGAAGACACAGTGGAAGCAGGCGCTGTCGCTGTCGCTGCGGTGTCCGAAGTCCCTCTGTAGCTCGCGACTCCAAGTAACTATAGGTGGCGCCACTCATTTTCCAAGATGGCGGGTTTAGTGAGGGTCAGAGATGCGTGCCGCTGTTGAGCCTGTCTAGTGTGCTGACTTCACTGAGCGAGACATGTTATTTCTGGTAATACGAGGAAGCTAGGGTGTTATGAGCACAGGTCACCTCTTTAACCCGAAAACAAGAGCGGTGTTTAGCGTATTGTTTACGGAATGATGCGCGTTTTAATTCTGGAGCGAAACCAAAACTTACCTCTCTTTTGGATTTAATTTCTCGATAGAGGTCTTAATTTTGGATTCTTTCATGACTCAAGATGTGTCTCACATCGTAATTATTTATTTAGAAAAGTTGTTTGCGGAAACTTTATTTTGTGACATACTGTTCGATCCAGGCTGATATTCGTAGTTGTTGAAAAAATCAGTGCTGATATCTGTACGTTCTAGGGTGACCACCTTCCTGCTAGTGAAATGCGGGACACGCGGGGCAGAGGGCGGGGCGGGGGGGATTTATTAAGACGCACACAACGAACCAAGGCTCTGTTAAAATATTTATTATCCCGTACTGTTTATCTTTATACACCTGCTGATTGTATTGCAGCAATTAAGCTCAAATAAGTTTCACTACCAGTGATAGATTATTTTGAATGCCAGCGATGGTATTACATGTGCCGAAGTTGAAAACATAAAAATCGACTGTACCAGAACTCAATTCATCATATGGAAATAAGAAACAGTAAATATTTTTCTGGTTATTGTTTCCTGTCCACGCTTACTTCTATCAACATGGCCCTACACAAATTTTTAACATTATGTTCTTTTTTGACCGTTGCATGTTTGGCTGCCTTCACTAAACAGAAGAAAAAGAAATTTACAGCAAACCTTTCGCATTGGCATGGTGCTACACAAAGTTTTAACTGTATGTTCTTTTTCCACCGTTGCATGTCTGGCTGCCTTCACTAAAGAAAAAAAAAAAAAAAAAGAAATCCACAGCAAACCTTTCGCACTAGCATGGTGCTACACATTTTTTTTTTAACATTGTGTTCTTTTTCGACCGTTGCATGTCTGGCTGCCTTCACTAAAGAAAAAAAAAGAAATCCACAGCACACCTTTCGCACTGGCACGGCAATTTGAAAATAATTACAATATTTTATATTTAAACTTTTGGCGAGAACTTTTTCGTACAATATTTTCCCACCAAAGAGAGAGGCACTACGGCGCATGCGCGTCGGTCCCCTTGCAAGAACGACGGTCGCTTCCCGCAATGCTTGGATAGATCATAGAACATGGCGCACCATTTCGATTCACACAATTACTAGCGACCTCCGCACTTCCCCGTGCCCCATTTTTCGGCAGCACCGTGAGTAGCGGAGTTAATTTTACGACACTGTGAAATGCGGGACATTTTGTAGATTTGGGACTTTCCCGGGCGGGACGCGGGACACGAGCCCTCAATGCGGGACAGTCCCGCGAGTCGCGGGACGGGTGGTCACCCTAGTGCGTTCTCGCTGCCTTTTTCTCGCCCAGATAATCGTCATGGGAAAGAATGACTATTATCCCAGCACAAAAATAAGAGAATAATTCCAATTTTTACAATATGTCAACGAAACGCATAAACTAATAAACGCAAGCTTCATTGCAAGAACCCAAGACGGAATCCGAGTCAGACAGCTGAAGTGTGTGTGTGTGTGTGTTTTTATAGCACTCCGTGACGCGTAGGACTTCACTTACATCCAGCGTTTAACTGTTTGTCTATCTTGATAACGATGTCAGAGTTTTTCATATGCTAAAAAGAAAACAGAATTATGCCTTTCTGGAAAGACTATTCTGGTTGAATAGCGTATTCTCTTGATCTTGGCGTTAATTGGAGGCATACATTGCCGCGATTTGTATTAATAATAATAATATTAAAATTCACATATTTGAATAAGTAATTCTTGAAGCTCTAATATAATTTGTTGCTTGTGATCTAATTTTAAACGCGCGAAGAAATATGACAATGAAAACTGTGCTAATTATCATCACTGGTTCCAATTGCTGCATTTTAATTACAAATAAAATAAAAATAGTCTAAAATCAATGAAAACATTCTAGCTAATGTGAGAAATCCATGTAAAATTACATTAATTGTGGGTAAAGTATATTGTGCTATCAAAGTCGCGACTTTTGACAATCGGCGAAACGTCCAAAGTCGCCGCCAATATACTTCAGGACCGAATGCCCAAAAGTAAAAAAAAGAAACACTTTTTTTCAATTACTAGTTTTTTTCATAACACTTATTTACTTTTGTATTTGCTCGCCGTCTTTTTGCCAATCTCAGCCTTTCCAGTTCGAAGGAACGCCTACCTGCTTGCACGTCTGCTCACTGCAGCACGTTTCGTTAGCGATGGAAGCCGGTGAAACAGCATTGAGTTTTAATATTGCGTATACGAGCGAACTCAGGCCCTGAGTGTTTGCGTTAGTTTTGCGCGTTCCACACTGCGCGTGCGCGGAGCCCGAAATTGCGGTCTTGGATGGCGCATGGCGATGAGGCGCACGCACAACATGGGGCACGCAACTCGAACGCAAACGCACACCGCTTGCGTTTGCTTCTATGCGCAATACTACAACTCTCCAGTAAGGTACAATCCCATACCGGCTGCAGCACTGCGTTGGGACAGTGAAAAGTGGTGTTTGCATTCGGAAACGACATGTCGCGAGCCATGATAGCGAGCAGTTCCGCCATGCCCGCTGAGCAGGAGAATCGGGGGACCCTCACCATAGCCTCCGAGATCCCGAAGCGCGCGCGCGATCGCGCGCTTCGGGATCTCGGAGGCCATGCCCTCACTAGAGCGCTTCCTATTTCCGCCGCGGGAGGGCGAGCGTCAAGCTGGAGACGCGAATACCGGACTTTCCGTTTAACTGTCCAACGCCATAGTGAGCTCACAACAGGTGCTCCCTATTCACACTTGACCTGTTGTGCAGATTAAAGCTGCGAATATGATAGAAATGTGAGAGGCATAGCGGTGGAATTTCTTTTTCTGGTAATAGATACAAATAAAGCGAGGTTATTTCGGGAACTTACTTCGCCATAAAATCCACAAGATGTGCCGTTGGGCATATTGTAAGGTTTCACGGATGCTGCCGTCGCATTCTGGCATCCCATCTTGCAATTGGCGAAGTCCACGGATACCTGATATCGAGTTTCAGAAGGAAATTGGACAGTTGAATATTTACAATATACCTACCATTTGATAACAGGACTTGAGAGTTTGTAGAAGATTTGTCAGTTACGCACCATGGTGCTTTCCCCTAACTGCCTACATGCTTCGTCCATTTGCGTTTTTAAGTGGTTCATGCATGAAGAGTTTCCGATATTTTGCTCCACATCTTTCCAACTCTGTAGTTCCAAATCAGGAGCTGACAATGAGTCGATAAGCTCAGAATAAGCAGCTGAGAACAATATAAAAAACTGATTATAATCAAATTTTAGCTCCGCTCGATGTGTTTCATTGATTGATTGAATGATTCGATCACGGACATTATTATTTTAGAAGGCGTATATATTTTTGTTTGTGCGCCATAATGAAGGCAGTTTCGTTGTTCATGAGCGCACAAAATAAACTGATAATGATAATTATAGGATTAAAATTCCTTCACAATATTTTTCTTTAAATTTAAAGCAGGTGTTTAATACTACGAAAATTGGGGTAGTTTCCCCTTTTGGTTATTTCTTAATTCGTAATTACATCACTCGCACCGTTTCGGTGCTCAATACCCGGCACAAGCACAGAGTAGCGACTCTACCTTCTCTTCTAATCCCAGAGAACCCTGGGCTCGTGTCCTTGTATTACAGACGTGGTCACTAATAACTATGTAATTACAATGTAGCGTAAAAAGCACCTGCAAACTGATATGCACTTAAAAAAACTGTCGGATGATAAAAAGTGCTTAAATTGTCACCAAAATAAGGCGTTTCAAGCCAGGTCTACACCTTTTTTTTTCTTTACATATAAGAGGGTTTTAGTAGATCGGTTCTGATTGCTCTGATACCTCCGATAACGATACGATGTATGCGCAAATGCGGCGGCGGAGTGTCGGGTCATCAGAACGATCTACTAAAACTCTATATTAATTGACTCTACGTTGCTGTGCTGATGAATTTCTTCCATCAGAGTTGTTACAAAATGTTATACATTTTGCAAGTCTCGCTACGATTCCAAGCGACCACTGGTGTTTCTTGGTCAGTCCTGGCTCAAAGTTTGTCATTAAAAACGTACAGCATATTTTAGTGTATTAAGCCCGGGCACGTACTTATGCAGTAAAATTAGTTGCTCGGCACTGTACTGTTTCTCACTCCGCACATTTCATGAATGGTTGTGTTTAGCTATGTGAGAAAATTTTAATTAGGCATGGTTTCTTTTCCTTTTCTTCTCGTGTGAATAAAGTTTTTTTTTTTTTTTTATCACCATTATTGAACATGTGTTTACACTCCTTGTTTTATATGGTCCCGTTTTGTTGACAGGTTTAGTAAAATATCAAGCTTCTCGAATAAAATACCTAATCTCGAGATATCTTCGATATCTCGAGATTAGGTAATATTATTCGACAATGCAAATCCCACATTTTGTTAGTAGGTGATTTCAATGCCCATAATGTGGCGTGGGGCAGTGTAAGGACGACGCCACGGGGACGAGAGCTACTCGATCTGGCGGACTCTTACGACCTATGTCTCCTGAATGATGGTTCACCTACGTTCATTCGAGGTAGTCGCTGCAGTAGTTGTTTAGATGTTGCGTTCATGTCGCGCGAGCTCCTGTCCCAAAACTCCTGGCTTGTTGATATAGAGACTCATGGCAGTGACCATATGCCTACCTACATAACGGTCAGAGGGTTCCAAGCAAATTATTATAATCATGTTCTCACTTCATATATAGATTGGCCATGTTTTCGAGACAATGTGGAACTGCGCCTGCAAGGAACAAGCACTTACGAGAAGTTTGTCTCAACGATAGAGCTATCAGCGACGGAAGCGACCAGGACTGTCCGTCTCCCAGCCTCGCGCACCGTTGTGGATGCGGAATACGAAAAACTTCGAGCGATTCGTCGACGGGCAGAGCGTCGCGCTCGACGAACCAAATTAGCTGCTGACGTAAGAGTAGACAGGCGCACTCAAAAACATATCCGCCGTCACTTGGATAAACTAGGTCGGAAGAAGTGGAGAAGAACATGTGCTTCCTCATTTGATCCCCGTGCTCCACTGTCAAAAATATGGCACGTTGCTCGCGGACTAAGATCCAAACCGCAACAAAAAACGCCTTTTCTTGCGTTATCACTCCACACAGGTCGCTCGCCACGTGACATCGCTGAAGAGTTTTGCGCTTCACTCGTTCTACCAGCCTTAAACGACGATGTTCCACTGCATTTAAGCGCTGAACATACTTCTTTTTCAGCTCCCATGAATGCCATCTTCAGTGCGCCAGAACTAGATGAAGTTTTAGCCTCCCTTGATCACTCTTCTTCGCCTGGTCCAGATAAAATCAGTTACGGTACACTTGCCCACCTAGGACCAGCAGCTCGCCAGCTGCTGCTTCAGATATTTAATGACTCATGGACAAACTGTCATGTTCCACAAGCGTGGAAAATTGCGAACATCGTTCCTGTACTCAAAGCGGGTAAGTCTCCTCTTGATTTGAAGTCTTACCGGCCAATTTCTTTAACTAGCTGCGTCGGCAAATGCATGGAGCGGTTAATTCTGTCACGGCTGGAGTGGTTCCTCGAATCAAGCTCAGCATATCCAGCTACAATGACGGGGTTCAGGCAAAGCCGTAGCTCGATTGACAACGTCATCGATCTTGTAGCCCATGTTGAAGACCAGAAGCTTCGGGGAAAGTTTACTATAGCAGTGTTTCTCGATGTACGTGGAGCTTTCGACAATATCCGACATTCAGCCGTTCTACAAGGACTCCAATCAGTTGGAATTAGTGGGCGACTGTTTGACTGGGTTGCTGACTACCTCCATAATCGAACAATCTACATGCACACCAAAGAAAGCGACACCTCATATCATGTCTTAGCGAAGGGCGTACCCCAAGGGGGCGTTCTTAGTCCGGTTCTTTTTAACATCGCACTTATCGGGCTTACGAAGGCTGTACCAGATTCCGTGCACCTTACACTTTATGCCGACGACATCTGCCTATGGGCAACCGCTGCCTCTCTTAAGCAGGTACATGCTCGACTACAGAAGGCACTTTTTCAAGTATCCCAATTTCTTTACGATCGGGGGCTTGAAATTGCTCCAACAAAATCAGCAGCTGTAGCTTTCACGAGGATGAAAATGAGCCGTTACCCTCTTTCCCTCCATGGTACAGATATTCCTTACACTCCAAATCATCTTTTTCTCGGAGTTTATACAGACAAGGGCCTAACATGGAATCCGCAACTAAAACATCTTAAGACGAAGCTTTCTGCATTTATTAGTTTAGGGAGGTTTATAAGCGGCACAACCTGGGGGACATCCGTAGCTGGACTTCTGCGTTTATATAACAGCTTATTCGTTGGCGTTCTCCGCTACAGCTTGCCAGTTATGCATGGATTAAGTCCCACAAACATGAAAAAGCTTGAATCTCTTCAAGCACAGGCGCTCAGAGTATGCCTTGGGGTACCTCGTTCAACCTCGACCATTGGTACAATAGCCTAAGGCCAAGATTCCGAGACATTCGGGCTAGTTTCAATACTTCCCACCACGCGGCGCTCAAAGACCAACCTGCAGAATATTTTTCAACCAGAAAAAAAGTTCCCCTCGCCACACTTCCCATTTCCTCCTCTCCCATAGTTAACTTGACGGCGGGGAGACTCCTTTTGTTGCTTCATCTCGGGGCCAGATAAGCCAAGCTAAGCGCATAATGGGCGATTTGCGACGGGAGGCACAGCGACCCCTTTCCTCCGGCGATACCAGAGAAGCGCCCGAAACCGAACTCTCCTTTCTGCAGCATTTCAGAGCCTAGCCTCTCGGGTTTGTCTCTGAATTTTTGTTTTGTTTTGCGATAACCGTGCTTCGCTACTCCGAGCATTTGACTGCTTCTGCCGTCCATGTAAAGTGACCCAAGGCCATGTGAGGATGGGCATAGGCCAAGAGCCATCGTCCAAAAACCCTAGAGTTCGAAGGAACTACCGCATTTTCCGGACTATAGCCCGCACCCGGTGCATAGTCCGCAGGGAAATATTTTGCGTCAAAAATAAAAGTGTTTTCTTAGATAGTCCGCACCCGGTACACAATCGGCACCCAGTGCAAAGCCCGCACTTAGCACCTAGTCCGAACGTAAAAAGTATCATACTCAGCAGATCTTGACAAACGCCTACTGTATTAGGTCACGATGAAGCTTTATCGTACGTAAATCAACATTAGTATAGTCCGTTACTCATAAAATCCTTCACGATTGTCATAGTGAAGGATCTAGGAAAATTAAATCATTGTATTGTCCGCACCTGTAGATATTCTGCATCGGGTGAATTTTCAACTTTTAAACTTGTATAGTCCGGAAAATACGGTACTACAGAGTGTATTGTGACCCTGGGTACTTGAAGAGGAAGCGGCGAGCCTTACAAAAAGTGTTTACGGGACGGGAACTCATGCCGGCGTGCGTACTCTAACATGTCCGGAGCTTTTACCCCAACCCACCTGGTGTTGCCTAAATGGGACACACGTTGAAATAAACAGTGCTGGGGGCTGTCAAACCGTTGTTTTTTTCTGAAATTTGACCGAAACTCCAAATAATGAGATCTGCAAAAATCCATAATACGAAACAGCCTTTTTTTTTTCCGGTTCCTTGCATTTTTATATTGCGTTTTGAGATCCTACTAGTGACCAGTGCCGCGTTTAGACGTCATATTGCACGTGGCCACACCGGTGACTAGAACTCACCCTTCCGTAAGCAAAAGTTTAAAGTACAAGTTCACCCGTCAAATTTTGGAACTGTAATTACAATATTTCGTTAATTTTTCTCAAATCAATATCTCTTCTCGAAATGGTTAATCACTTTAGTACAGTCGCCCTCTTGAGATTTCTAGGCGAGAGATGGCAAAAGCACTTTCCAAAACTAACTGTTTTACATTACCGATTCCTTTCTTAAAAATCACTAAAATTTAATTATATTACATTACAAATTACTGATTACTAAAACTCTGGGCATTCTCTTCGTATTACATTTAATTTTTGCAGGTAGAGTTTGCTTGTCGATAATGAAATATCAGTCTGTTGTTGCAAACAGTGCAATGTAGGCGCAATATAATATATTACTGTCATGCCGCGAGCTTGTTCAGGAAGCCGCCGATGACAACGAGGTTTTACGATGCGCTAACAACTCCAAAGTATCTGAATCAGTGGTGTCGCCATGCTGTACTACAGCGCAACATATGAGATGAGACCATAACCGTGCTCTCGCAAGCTCGTTTTTAATAAAAAAGAAGATAATATTTTTTTTCTTTAATTCTCTACTTGTGCTTGTAAGTTGCAACACAGCAAGAGCTACTCAAGTCTATTGGAATGTATCACTGATATCCGATAAGCTGAGGTGGCGTAACCTGTGCAGCATAAAATGCTTTGACGGAATCGTTTGTTCTTAGGATCACGCGTGAGGTGCGAGCTAACCTATATACTTACAGCCAAGAATAAAGGCTCCGAGCATTAATTTGAATGCGACGGAAGCACTTCGACTTTCCGGACTGCCGTGACTATATCTGGAATGACTTCTCTAATCAAGGTGAACACACGCACACATATACCGGAGGCACTGTTGAAGTTTCAGGGGCTCGGGTTTGCGTAGAGATTATCATTTGCGCCGATACCCGGTTTTCGCTTTGCTAAAATATTTCAACAACTGCCAGTCTTGAACGGGTCAACGAAAGAACTGATCGTTTTCACGTAGTTGGGTTAAAACTATGTGGTTAGGCTACTGTATGGGTGCACTACTAAAACCAATTATAATGACATCTAAAGCGACAATCACTCTCATGTGTACTTTATCTCGTAAATAACACTTTTGCGATTGACATGTACTTTTGCGCGCGTGCACCGTCGGCAAAAGTCGCACCATTAAATGATCTCCCTTCTTTTTCTTTTCTTTTTTTCTGAGCGAGAAAAAAGGGGGAGGGGGAGAGAAGGTGGTTGAGGGTAAAAAATGTTGGAGATATGTGCTTGATTGTCATGATTGTGCATTTTTGATCACCCAACCTTTACAGCTCCCACATGAACGCGACGTCCCATGATGTCAACCGCAGAAACAGTTTGATCACTACTCGTACATCAGCCTCTGCGTTCGGTTTTCAGGTTATTGTGTACCTTCGTGCGTGTGTGCGTGCGTGTAACTTTGATATTTGTATCTGATGTTTGCGAGTGCATATCTCGTAATATTTTCTAGATAAAGCGTTTAATTTTTTTTTTGTATATTCTTTCCGGAACGGTAAATCATCTAAAAATATTTTTTTACTCGAGTTTATAACTGAAAATATTTACAACGCTTCAAACGTGCTTCAATGTGAAAAGGTCCCCAACTTCAGCGTGCAATTAAAAGAAAACTTCGTTTTTCTTTTTATCTCGAGGAAAATATTTTACACTATATCGCGTGGTGTTCCATTAACATGTTGCATTATTTTGTCTCCATTCAAAATGCAGCGCTTCGAAATACACGAACTAGGCCACTTTGAAAATTTTACCCAATATTTGTGAGTTGTTATCTGGCAATGTCTTCAAGATATAGCATTGAACTATTTCTAATATGCTCTTCCCAAGAGGGCCTATCACC